TTTGCGAGCCGCCACGGCAAGCGGCACGGCAAGAAGTCGAAGCTGCGCTGCGGCAAGAAGGCCCTGCACGTGAACTTCAAGGAGCTGGGCTGGGACGACTGGATTATCGCGCCCCTGGAGTACGAGGCGTACCACTGCGAGGGCATGTGCGAGTTCCCGCTGCGCTCGCACCTGGAGCCCACCAACCACGCCATCATCCAGACGCTGATGAACTCCTTGGCCCCTGGCGCCACCCCGCCCAGCTGCTGCGTGCCCACCAAATTGACTCCCATCAGCATCCTGTACATCGACTCCGGCAATAACGTGGTCTACAAGCAGTACGAGGATATGGTGGTGGAGTCCTGCGGCTGCAGGTAGCGGCGCCTTTCCCGCCGCGGTGGCCACCGCTGGGGAAGCCGGACTGCTGAGCCAGGAGAGGTGGTGGAGGAGGAGCTGAGAGTGGGGGGAGGACAACTTGGACGCGTGGGGTGGGTGGGAGAGGAGGGAGCTCAGCACAGCCCGCCCAGATCCGGCCATCTGCCAGCCCAGAGGGCTCTATAGGGATTTTCACACTTTGCCTGCCCGGCCTGGAAAAACAAGCCAAGGAGGATTTCATCGTTCTTTCTTTTTCTTTTGTCTTCTTCATTTTTATGGCTTTGGGTTTCCCTGTGTGTTTCACAGGCTTTGAGAGGAGGTGGGGGAATGACGTCCTATGCCTGGGTTTTTCACCCTTATTGCACCGGATTCTGTAGTTGGAAAAATCGTTGGCAAAGAGAAACAATGTAGGAGGAAGGATCACCTTTGACCACACCTTGCGGGGTGTTGTTTTCCACCTGTGTAAAGAAGGCGCTGTCTTTCTGGCCATGTCTGGTGATCTTCCAAGTAGAAAGGGTTCCCACAGGGATTTTGGAAAGGGAATTAGAATAGCCAGCCCCTGCCTTTAGGAACGCTTCCAGAGAGGTGGCCTCAAGTGTACTACCCCTGAGTGCACTCTAGCGACTGTCCCAGCTCTGCTTGGCCTTTCCCAGTACTGGAGACCCTCATAGGACTCCTGGGAACTTTAGAGGGCTGAGAGGGATGGGTAGATGCCACCTCTGTGGTTGCGTTTTCTTTTTTTGTTTTCCCCTCTGATGGTGGGGAAAGGGGAGCTGGTATGGATGGAATGATAAGAATTAGACTAAATGGGACCCCCCTGAAGGATAATGAGAAACCAGAAGACCTGCCTCACACAGGGGCTGACACTGAGGTTAATGTGCCCAGGTAGGAGGTAACCCAGTGAAAAAACCCTTTATGATGTCTGTTTCTAATGGATACCCACCAACCCAAACCAGAATTTGCCAAAGACCCAGCCATCCTGTTGTAAGAGGAAGGCAAGGATTCCCCCATTTTGAAAATAGTAAGGCCTGGATGTGGTTGGCAATCTAACTAAGGTCAGAGGTGCAGAGGAGGTTGGGGGGTGGGGTGGGGGAGGACCAAAGGAGAGAGGGTCAGGTTGGAGGGGGGCTGGGGGGTAGGACTCCAGGGATCAGGCCGGGCCAGGAGCAGGGAAGGGAAGGATGAAAGCAGACCCAAGGGCCTGTCTCTGAAGTTTCTTTAACATCTCTTGTCCCTCCCCTCTGACATTCCTGAAAGATTACCAGCCAGAAATAGCCCAGGGCTTCCCCAAAAGAATTGTTTCAGATTGTAATTACCAGTTAAGCAATGTTTTTAAAACCTAGTAATGAAAAACTGTGAAAAGAGCAAAGTGTTACATTGAGCTTGGGGTGGGAGATGGGGACTGGGCCTTAAAGAAAGGGGGATGGTGGTTGGCTGTGCCTGGGGAGAGGGCTGGGAACCCAAACCTGTTGTCTTGGAGTTGATTCTGAGACAGGCGACACTCAGGGTGACCCAGCAGAACTGCTCCCTAGGGTTTCCTTGGGTGTCATCTTTGTGGAGGCCAGTAGCCAGGCCTTCCTTTCACAGTCCCAATTGGGCTGGGGGGTGGGGGGGGGTGGGGTTGGGCAGGTGGACTGTCAACTTTTAGGTGAGCTGGTCAGTGCCAACCCCTCCAGCCTCCCAGGGAGCTCTAGATAAGGAGACCAAGGGGGGAGGGGAGGAGAGATGGTCATCTTCTGCAAGGGAAACCGGAGAGAGGACGGGCAGACAGCCCCACCAAAATACCCATTCCCAGATGATCAAAACCATGAACTTTACCCCAACCTGCACCAGTGTTATTCTCAAACCTTGCTTCTGTGGGGATCTGCGTGAATGGCTCATCTTTTGGGCATGAAGTGGTACAAGTCAGGGGAGCTTGCACCAACCATCCAACAAAAAGGAACGTTTTCCCTTTGGGGTTTTACGCTCTCTCAGTCCACATACCTGTTGCCAGTTTGTTTCGGAGAAAGGGTGGGAATGCTAGTGAATGCTAATATAAAATGCTAACTAAGAAAAAAGACTTGGCCAGGAGAAATAATTTAAAATGCACATTTGCTTTGGATGCACTGTTGTCCTGTTAAAAGGTGTATATATTTGTTTATTTAAGGTGACTGGAAGTGCAAGGAAGCGGACAGCATGCAATTCATCTTACTGTACAAAAAACGTTATATGCACTCAAACGTTAGAGTTTCTAATATTTTAAAAGTTTATATTCGAGTTGTACAAAATCAAGCATGAATCAGATGTTTCCTTCTCTCATAATGTTATCGTTTCCTTAAATATTATTACAAAATTTTAATTCTGTCAAATGGAGAGTTGTTTTTGTTTTTTTTAAGGAAAAAAAAACCTGTCTACCTCACTATAATACAACTATTTTGCATCATTAAAGTTACCAGAGGTGAATTCATATTCAAAACCTTTTTGTTTTTAAACAGTACATCATTCCTAGATGATAATCCAATACTGTGTTATTAAACTCACTCCCCCCACCCCCCTTTTCCCTTTCCTAGTAACTTGGCCTGGTTGATATGGCAGCTATTTAGAAAAAAAAAATCACTTTCTCAAGGAATTATTGTTTCTCAAGGAGGGATTTTGTTCCAATATGGGGCTGGTTGTCTGGAAAGGCCCTGATTATTTTTAAATCCATCTTGTAGAACGCTGCACATTTCTGTTGTAACTCTTCCATACTCTTTTATGACATCGTCATTCGCCAGCCTGGGGAACGTATCCTACGAGCAGCCCCAGTGAGAAATGGAAAAGTTCTTAGTCTCTTGAAGGTTGCACAAAGGAAGCAATGAGATACCTAAATCAACCAAGACGTTGATCATCACGGTTTACATTTGAAAAGCACTGGAAGCTGGGGATGGTGGTGGTTTAAACATTTGTTTGCTTGTCACAAATTGGATGGTAGAAGGTAAGACTTGAGTACTCACTAGGTCATTGATATTCATTCAACAAAACCCTCAAAACTCAAATTCACTGCCATCGAGTCCATGCTGCCTCATAGCAAGCACCCTTACAGGACAGGGTGGAACTTCCCCTGGGAGTTTCCAAGACTGTCATTGTTAACAGGAATTGAAAACCCTGTCTTTGTCCCTTGGTGGTTGCAAACTGTGTTCTCTCATGATGCCTCTCTAAAATGTCCCCATTTTACAGATGAGAAAAGCGAGAGTCAGTGTTTCAGTGGCGTGCTGAGGTCCTTCAGTCAGAGAGGGTACTTACGGATGTGCACCTTGCTCCTTAGCCTGCAGAGTTCACTGCCATACACCACCGGGAACCAGTCGACTGGAACTCGTGATCACCTTGCGAGTTTCAGAATAGGACTCTGCTCTGCAGGGTTCAGTGGTAGTGAATCATCTTTTGGAAGTTGATCACCAGGCTTTTCTTCTGAACTGCCTCTGTAGGGATACAATACCGCCCCCCAGGTAACCAGCCTACTCTCTAATTGGTCCATGAAGGCCCATGTGGGAAATTTGCAGCCAACCCCAGTTAGTGGGAGCAGCCAGCTGATGGAGGAGGAGCTGCTGCAGGTTCCCTGGCCTGACCGATAGTTCTATTGGACTCTGTGGAGTGTGAACCCTGGGCTAACTTACAAGCCCCAGCCCACTGCCAGCAAGTTGATTCTGATGCTCAGCAATCCTTTAGGGCAGACTAGGACTACCTTACAGGTCTATGAAACTGTTTTTTTAAAAAAATTTTTAATGGTCTTGTAGACTAATGATATTGTCTTTTTAAAAAAAAAAACAGTTTTATTGGTACTTAATCCACATATCATATAATTCAATATTTCAGTCACATGAAGAATTGTACAATCATTACCACAATCAATTTCAGAACATTTCCCCCCACCCCATGATTAAATCACCTTCAGTTCTAGTGCTCACTCCCCTCCCACCTTCATTGTTTACTCCTGAAATCTCCTCCTCCTCCCCTTTACATCCTCTATAAACCCTTGCATCAGTTACTATCTGTGTACATCCACTCCTATGCCTTTACATCCTCTATAAACCCTTGCATCAGTTACTATCTGTGTACATCCACTCCTGTGCCTTTACATCCTCTATAAACCCTTGCATCAGTTACTATCTGTGTACATCCACTCCTGTGCTTCACAAACTGCTAAAAACTAAGTCTTTATAGAAGCAGACTGCCTCATCTTTCTCCCACAAAGGAGGTGGTGGATTAGAATCCATGACCTTTCTGTTAGCAGCCCAATGCTTAAAGCACTGCTCCACTAGGTCTCCTTGACCACTGAGGTGCCAAGGCACATCTAAAATCTGTGTGGCAAAACTCAGTAGGGTCTTAGCTTTGGGAAAGCAATATTTGAGGTCATTGCTGGGTGTTAGTAGCTTCTCTGATGTTTGCCGGGACTACCTTGGGTGTGTTTTTTTTCACTACCTTGGATAAGTTTCGATAATAAAAATAATGATCAGTTTATAAATAGGCTATGCTTCAAGAGCCCAGTTGTAAGTGGGAGAAACATTTCCTCATAGAAATAATGCTCATTTGAGTCCCCAGGTCATTTTGCAGAAGCTTAATTTTACCCAAATGGCACTTATGAACCGAAGCAGCATTGACTCGTGCGTTTGGGGAAGAGATCATCAGGGGAAGTGAAAAAGCTTTTTATTCTTCTCCTAGGTGGAAGATCTTTCCCTGAAATAGTTGAGAATTCTTTAACTGTCCTTACTTTTCCCTTTTCGCACCTAACCTATTCCTTGTACCCTCAACTGCCCAGAGAACTTCTAGCCCTGTACCCGAGGGCCTCCGTCCAGGGCTTTCCTTAGGTTCCATAGATATTTTGATTTCCAAAGATTCTTTCCTCCCCCCCAAGAAGTGCTGTTTCCCTAACTCAAGTCTTCAGAGAGCCACAATCTCCTTGAATTATTTAAAGATGGAAATATTGCCCAGCTCCTAACCTTCCTCCAGGCATTTGCATTTTAAGGAGAAAATCTTGGTTAACTCAG